CTCTTAGTCTCTTTATATATTTTGATTGTCTACATATGCATTTTATATTTATTTATCCGTTCATTCAATTCTTTTGAACCAAACTCTAGGGTCTTTTTTATACGATCTTAATTTTCTTTTATCATAAAAATCAATATTCCTTTATACTCTTATACTCTTGACAAATCTTTTACGTCTTATTTATTATATTCTGCGTTTTTGTACGTTAAAGTTTCATCATAAGTTAATCGACGTAAGTTCGGGAATGAGGTTATTTTTTAGGTTATAAGTATTTATTTTATTTATAACAAGTAATAAGTGAGTGCCGTGAAGATTAGAGGGTAAACAAATCAAAGAATAAGTTTTGTTGAAATTTGTCAATTTGGGATAAAATACGGCCCAAGCTATAATACCCCGTATTTATGGACTAGTGCCATACAAGGTACCGCATGACCATGATAGTAAGGTATATTAAGTATATTAGTATTTAAGTAATTATGTACTAGAATTAATTATGCGAATAATTGATTAATTGTGAGAATAATATGGGAGAATAAGGAAATAATTATGGTATTAAATAGGATTAAGTGGATGGGGAACTTTAGTGGGCTGCCACATGGCATTAATTTGGCCAAGGGTGGCACCAATGTGCATATATGAGTCATAGCACTTAAAGTACCTTGCTTACATGTGAAAATGCAAGACATATCCCTTAAGCCTTCATTTTATTCTTCTTTGGCAATTTGAGATATAGAAAGGATGTTGCAAACTTTCCTTCTATTGTTGGAGATTCTCTTACTTTAGAAACATAGCAAAAACGTACAAAACATGATACTCCATATGTTCAGCAACATGAAATATGCCATGATCATAAGGTGTGCTTGTTTCTTATTCAAAGATTTAGAAGGAGCAAAAATTGTTCTTGGCAAGCTCAAGTAAAAGTATTTGATAAATTCATCAAGTAAGGTATGTTAAGGATATCCCTTATTTTCTTTTGGCGTGATCCCTACAATACAAATGAAACGAGCAAATACACAACTTTCATAAATATCTCTATTTATATAAGCACTAGGGGTGCCTATGTTCTTGATTCTCCATGTGTCTTATTATTACATCTTCTGTTCATGGGTCTCAGAAAAATATGTAGTTGATAAAATTTATCCGAAGGCATATTGATTTTATGACATTCCGAGAGGTCTTATTGACTTACTTTTCATTACATTCATTTATACATGTACATTGACCCATGACCAGATGGCGTTTTATATATATATATATATATTGGGTATGAGGAAAGGTTACGGCGTTATATACGCAGCACCACCTCATCAGTTGGTATACATTAATAATTTCGCCCACTGAGGCCGAGATGATATGATGGGATGCCCTCAGAGGCTTGATGACGTTATGTACGCATATACCTATGCATGATATGATATTTATATTCACATGTATGACATTATAAATATTTCAGGATTCACAAAGTTATTTAGGCTTACAGGCGGATTCCTTTACTCCACACTTCTTTTATGACTTCTATGTACTGATTTTCATGTCTTACATACTCGATACATTATTCGTACTGATGCCCCTATTTCCTGGGGCCTGCGTTTCATGCCCACAGGTGCAGGTAGACAGGCTGACGGTGCCCCTTCTTAGAATCCTTGCTTAGCGAGAGTTGGTGTGCTCCATTTGATCCGGAGCTGCTTTGGGTTTTGGTAAGATATGTTTGTATACATATATGGGTATGACGGGGCCCAGTCCCGTCCTTTGTACAGTTGTACACTANTTATTGACAGATGTTATTCATGACCTACCCTTAATTCATGTTTATATCTTAGACGCATACTTAGAGGTGTTCGATAGGTAGGACTCAGGCACTCGTCATGGACCATCGGTTTGGGTCGTGACATTATTCTTTACACATTTAGTCAAGTGATAATTCAAACTCTTTAGAACACCTCAATTATTGATACACATTCCTTATTTGATTTAATCACTCCATTGTCGCATATAAGATTCTTTGTGGATAATTTCTTTCGTATGCTCCGCTATCTATGACCACTCTTCCTACTTTATTTGATTATTTCTTTTAAGTTAATTGCTGGCTACTTTATTCAAAAAATAATTCTTTACCATTTTATTATATGTGGTCAATTAAGATTAATCTTGTATAGTTAAATCACTCGGCTTTAGTTATAAATTGAGGTTTCCTTTATACTTTATTTCGAACCCAATTCTCTAATCGAACTCCAAAAAGATTTTTGTTTATTAATTTACTTTGCATATCCTATTGTATATATTCTACCACAAATAAAATATTCATGCTTTGAATATTTACTCACTGCATGACAATCGCATTGGATACTCTTTGATAGGAATTCCTTGTGAAATAACTAATCATTTCTTTGAACCTTCCCTTTTTTATTTGATTGAATCCACCGGAACCACATTTTGTGGATCTTGAGGGATGCCTAACATCTTCCCCTCGAGATAACTTGAACTCTTACCTTGAATCTCAATGGTTTCGCAGACCATAATCAAATGTACATTACATAGTATAGTATAGGTGTCCTAGAATACCTTAAATACTAGGTGGCGACTCTAAACTTTAATTAACCTTGTAGAGTACTATAAGTTGTACATTATTTTGACTTGTGCAAAATAAGATATAATAACATGGAGACTTTACTGGGGATACTTCACGTTCTAACCACGTCGGATTTGATCAATTACTTGAGGGATTACAAGTTCTCCAATACTCTAACTTCTATTCTTTCTGTCACATGCTTCAAGTCATATATTCTTTGCTTCAAGTTTTATACTCTTTGCTTCAAGTTGTATATTCTTTACTTTGAATCGTATATTCTCTACTACAAGTCATATATTCTTCGTCGCATGCTTCAATGTGGTCTATTCTTTGTCATGCGCTTCAAGCGGTATATTTTTTGTCATTTGCCTCGAGTTGTATATCCTTTGTCGTGTGCTTCAAGCCATATATTCTCTATTGCATGCTTCAAGTCGTGTATTCTCTATTGCGTGCTCCAGGCTGCATATTCTTTGTCATGCATATGTTGTATGTTCTTTGTATGTGCCTATGTTGTGTATTCCCTTTTACACATACCTATGTTGTATATGCTTTCACAGATACCCATGTTATATATTCTTTGTCACATGCTTATGGTACTGCTTTATTGAATTGTCATCACTTTTCTATCGACTCACATGCAAGTCACGCGAGGGTTGTCTTTTCACCTCTCCGAACCTTCTTTCAAAACTCTTTAGTTTCAGAGATTTTCATATGAGGTTAACTACGTACCATCTCGCAGTTGTCCTTAACTCATGCTCGAATCTAGGTAAATCTACTCTTAGAATTCCTAGGTCACTGTATACACAATTTTGCAGTTTGTTTTCGCCCGATTAATTGTTACATATCCTTTGCATGTTACATATTCTTTGTCTGATGTACATTCTTTATCTGTTATGCATCCTTCACTTAATAGGATATGTCAACACTAAGGACAGTCTATGAAATGTACAGGCGTAAAATAAGAGAGGGATATGGACGGTCTAGTGAGACGCATTGTTAACGCAGACAATAGGTGCCACTTTCATTGGCCTTGTTTATACATGTTGTTTCAATTATATTATATTATGTATTCCATGTATAGTTCATATGGCTCAGTTGATCCTAAAAGAAGTTTAGAATAATGCAAGTATAATAAGACTTGAAATGTGATTCTATGGGATGTTTCGTAGTTTCTTGATGTACTTCATTTGCCTCTTATTTGAGTTACCATAACTTCATATGTTGTTCGGTTTGCTTTACATACAAGTACTATTCCACATGTACTCACATCCCTTTTGCCGGGGGCGCTGCATCTTTTAATAGATGCAGGTATACTTCTACAGGATGATATAGATCTTTGATAGGGACCTTCTTCACTACTCAACTTATGGTGAGCCCGCTACAGTTCTAGTGGGTGTTTGGGTCTAGTTTATTTTATGTATTTAGGTATCTATTGTCATAGAAGCTCCATGTACACTGTGGGCCATGTACTTAAAGTTTTGAGTTTTGTCATGTATTTATGTTCACAGTATTTACAGTTATTTATAAAGCTATGTATCCATCATGAGGAAGAATTTTAGGCCATTGAGCCAAATGTATTCAATTTAAAAGTCAAGATCTAATTATGTTATGGTAAATCATGCATGAGTAAATATGAGAGGTTGATGTAAAGTAGGCTTGCTCGACTGGGTTTACTCAGTTGAGCGTTGGACGCGCTCCCCGAGGTCGGGGCGTGACAAACTGAGAGGTAGAGGCAGGCCGAAGAAGTATTGGGGAGAGGTGATTAGGCAAGATATGACGTTGCTCCAGCTTACTAAGGACATGTCCATGGATAGTAAGGTGTGGATACTGAGAATTAGGGTAGAGTGTTATGTAGTCGAGCTTTATCTTTGTTTGTTACAATAGCTTTAGTACACCACTTAGTGTCTTTAGTGTATTTTCATCTTTCTAGACGACATTATTACTTGTTGTTGTCATTGCCTCGGTTTTTAATTGCACTACCTTGTGCTAGTTGTGTATTTTCGCTTGATTTTCTGATTGGTTTGGTCCTTCCCTTTATCTTTTCTGAGCCAAGGGTCTATCAGAAACAATCTCTTTGCCTTTTCAAATGTAGAGGTAAGGTATGCACACGCTACCCTCCCCAAACTCCACGTATGAGAATACACTGGGTTTGCTGTTGTTATTGTTAATATCTAAAAAAAAAAAAAATAGTGGTGATTGCCCTGTGTTCTCTAGCAATAGTAATAATTTTTTTCCAAAAAATTAAGAAAAAACAAAGGCCTAAGCATCGCCACATTTGATGTTACAGTACAGTTGAAGACATTATTCCTATTAACTCCCACCGATCAAATTATAACAAATTTAGGGATCCAATTAGCAATAAACCAAACTTCCTGGTGATTATCCGCTAACGAGTAGTACGAGACGTAGCATCTAATCCAAAGCGGTGCTCCACAAATATCATCATCATCTTCTTATAAAGTAGGAGTACAACCTAAAGTAAAAGCAAGACCACAAGAGGGCAAAGAGAGAGAGTACAACACATTATACAACTCAAAAGCCATGGACGATGACAGCTTCAGAGCCCGTGTACACAAAGTTTTCGGCGCTCTCTCTTCATCAGCACCGTCGTCGGCGTGGTCTCTCACCGACGATGAAGTGGAGAAGAAAGAGTGGAACCGGAGCGCACTGAAAGAGGATGATGACCAAACCCTTTCTTCTTCGTCATATGATGGATTATTCAAACAAAATCGCAGGAGGAACATGAATGATCCAAATGATGAGGAAAGTGGTTTTGAGCACCCTAATGATGTTTGGGATATCAGATCCTCCATTGGCTTGGATTCCACGCTTGATAATGAGGTTCTTTATATGGATTTTTATTTTTTATATATTGACATCGAAGCTACTTCTACACAAATTACTAATCTATCTCTGTTATAAGAAAATTACATGAAATTCATTTTTACTTGTCCTAATAGTGTAAGAAGTTCATTCAATTTTTTCAAAATTTGAAATGCACTCCCTTTTTTGTGATACATTGAACTCTGTATTCCTTAATTTTGATTTGAACTAAACTATGGGCGTTTTGTATGGAGGAGAAAAATAATTTCTTCATTAAAATCTGGTGTTTGTTTCGTCAGGTATAAAAGTAGGTAAAATGATTTCTTCAAATAAATTACACAAGTTATTTTCTCCCTTTTGGTATTGAATTTCCAGCTTCAAGAGTGCAGACATATTACCCCAACAGGGGCTAATTCAGGCATGGACGGGCCTCTATCCTATAGCTATTTGATATGCTGTAACAAAATACATTATTGCAAGAGGATCAGAGACTACATTGTTTTATTAAACTTTGCTTTTAAAGCTACTGCTTGATACTGAAATTCTAAACAAGGATTACTTTACTGTGTCTTTTATTGGAGAAAGGTTATGTACTTGTTATTCTATGATTTTTTAATTGCAATGTTTGGCTATACTGCTATTATGTCTGTATGGTCTGTGCACTTGTGTTTGACAGTGAATATGCTTTGAGAAGTATCACTTTGGTGCATATATATGCTGTTCTACTTAATTCAATGTCCCGGAACTTCAAGAGAACTAGACACAATCTGTATATTTTGGTGTTCGAAGACCATCCATTCTTTCCTTACTATTTAGTATGTAGATGGGGGTATTTCCTTGTCAAAAGTGTAAGATTGCCATACGAAGCTACAATTACTTCTTTAATTTCAGTTATTCATGTGCTCTAAGCTTATCTCGTTTCACTTAGCAAAATCTTTACCATTTTTATTTTCTTTTTCTTGAAATCTAGACCTTAGTATAAGGACATTTCTCATACTCGATTCCTCATTATTTTGGGCAATTTTACATATCATACTTGTTCCCTTTCAATAGTTAATATTACTTCCTTTCTCCTCCTTATTCTTGGGAGCACAGCTTGGTTCCTTGTTTCACCGATTGGATAGCTGGTATTGTTTGTCCTGTGTACCCACTTTCTTGGTCTGTGCGATACGAGGGAGAAATTTTATTTTGGGTATGAGAACTTTTACTAGTTGTGTGAGGGGTTTATTTAATTGAGTAAAATGTGGGACCCATAACGTCCATATCATCCCATCTCCTCCTCCTCAATTCTCGCTCACTGTTCTTCTTCTTCGTTTCCTTTTTATTCCTCTTCTCCGACGCCATGCTCTTTTCTGTTTTTTTTTTCCCTTCTGTTTTTCATCAACTCTTAAACCAAGTATTGGCGGGTGAAAGGGTGGAAAATCCATGTCTGCTAATATTTGGGTACTAGAGTATTAGAGTTTACTTGTTGTCTCTCCTGAATTTCACATCAAAATCCAACTACATCAAATAAATGAAAGAAAAGACAGTCTAGTTCCATCCAATTTAGACCAAACATTTTCAAGATTACTTCAGTTTCACTACCTACTTCTCAACTTCTCCAAAACAATTCAAATTTCCACAATAACCACCTCAAAATTTCCTTCAAATAATTGGAATGGAGAAAGAATAAATATGCTACGCATTGCCGGACTCCCATTTCTGATTTCAAATTGCATACTGGTGTTGAGTTTGAATTTGGCAAGCAAAAGAAAGAGAAACAGGAAAAGAACAGGGGGTGTCTATGAGGAAGAAGAAATAAATAATATTTTTCCTCCCCCTTAAGTTGATTATATGGGGTAGAAAATACTTTAACCTAACTTGTCTTTGTCATCCGATATTTGAGGAAAGCTCTCAGAGGAGATGGTCCGCTTGCTGCTTCAGCATCAGTTTTCCGGCACCTACTTTAAACCCTAAAATAAACATACTACATGCAAAACAAAAAGAAGTTCTGCAAAAATAGTGGAATAAGCATTTGAAAATTGTTTGCTATAAAAAAGCTGAAGGAGAAGATGGGAATTTTAAAAAAAGAGTTTGTGGAGTGTGAACTGGTCAGAATAGGAAGATGCACAGATAAAGAAGGGGCGAAGTAATGAGAAGATGGGACCCATAAATTCCAAATGTTAAGCATTAAATACCCTCACACTAGTATGAGAAGTACTAAGGGGTCATTTGGTTTAAAGACAGGTTATGCTAAGATTAATTATGCTGGGATTAGTTATTCTGGTATTATTTCTTGTTGACTGCTTTATCCTGGGATAACATATACTGGAATTATGATTCCACCCTCTGGTAGGTATAAGTTATCTCGGTACTATTTTTAATCCTGGGATAAATTAGTAACCAAACAAGGGATAAGGCGGTACTAAATTTTTATCTCAGGATTAGTTTTGCTTATCCATCACACTAAACGACCCCCAAGTGTCTTTGCAGGCCCTAAAAGATACTGTTCTTTTCTTTATTTTTATTTTTTTGGTTTTGTTTGAGACTTATGATCCGTCTTGATTGCTTCTCCAGGACGAGGAAGATGAATATGATAGAGTGGCGGAAGGCAGAGTGGGTGCTGGTGATCGCTTGTACATGAAGAATGTTATTGATCAGGAAACATCTTATGATCCTTCAGGACGTAGCATCCGTAGAGACGCACGTGCAAATCATATGGCTGCACAAGTTAGGCTGAAGGAAGATGCTGATGCTGCTGTGAAATGTGAAACTCATTTTGATGGTATCACTCTATATGGTGAGCAGCATTCTACTGAACCACTTCAGGTTGATAGTAAGGTGAAGCCAATTTTGAAAAGAGCAAGGAAATCTGAGAATGGTGAGCTCAAGTCCGCGAAACGAGTCAGGTTTAATCCTAGTTGTAAAGATGAATGTGAAGGGGCATCAGAGCTAGAAGTTTCTTGGGCAGCTCCTGCAGCAGCAAATTCTAGTTCTCAAGAAAATGAATCTATTCTTGACAACAGTAGGCCGAATGTTCCTGATCATATTCTCAACCCTTCAAAGTATATTCACTATAGTTTGGATTCTTCTAGCAAGCTTGATGATGAATCAAATATTCAAGCTTGCGCATACCTTCTCGAGGAGGTTAAGAAGTTGAAGCATGATCAATTGGCACGAGAAACTATGGATGTGTCAGCTACTAATCCTAAATCACCAGCCTTTGTACCTAGGCAGAAGAACTCATATGCTATAGCAGCAAATGATGCAACTCCGTCAAAGGAAATGATTAAAGATGCTTGTAATGAATCGTTGCACCCAAAAGGCTTTCCGGTTGCCATTGCCGCTGTAGAGGCTCAAGAAAGTGGAGATCCAATGGAAGAGGATATGGAAGCACATGTAGGTGACAATAACATCGTGTCCCATAAACAAGAACGCAGCTATCGAAGAACTCGATCAATTGGTTATATTCCTTTTGCGAGGAACAATTGTTGAGTGAATGTTTTACTTCTGCCCAATAAAGCAAGGCAGAGATGAACGACTCTGTTACTTGAGGCTAGCATGTATGTTATATAATTCCTTTAGCAGAAATGCTTGATACAGTGCATCTGTTTGCAAGTTGTTGTTTTAGCTGGATCTCCACCCCTAACCCCTCCAACCTCCACCCCTCCAAAAAAAGAGGAAGAAACATACAATATATAACTATAGGGGGACGACATAAGCATGGAGTGTACTGACTTTTTGCATGAACTATCTGTTTTTAAGGATTCTTGATGGATTATTCTTATTATGTTTGTTTTTTAGTGGAGGGATTCATGATGATCAGGTAATATTTCCCTTATCTTATCATGTCGATGGTGTATGTACCCGGTGACCCTTCCTGGTTGGTACTTGCTACTCCTTGAATGATGTTCAACTTTAGACATAACATATCTTGATATGATTAACACCGGATAACAAATGCAAATGATACGAGGACTATTATTCACCACAGAATCTCCATGTTATTAACTATATAATCTATAACAAGCAGGTACTTGGCAATTTTATTTATCTCTTCTCTCAATGTTTTTGATATTTTTCTATCATTTTCTTAAGAGAGAATTTCTAACTGATTTTAGGCACCACCTCTTTAGAATCCGGCATCTTTAGAAAGATTGTAACGGTGCATAATCTCAGTTTATATCAACTTTATCCTTCATTCGTTGCTTACTCTTTGAAACATCTGTTTTGCTTTAAATTATTGATCAAATCACATAATCGATTCCTTCCTCCTAAGTTTCCTATAAAACTAATGGAAAAACAAGAAAGAAAAGGGGAACAAAGCAGATGCTTTTTATATTCTGCTAGTGTTTTTCCTTTTATTTTGTTGTTTGAATTTTCTATTCTAATATGCTTACAATTTTCTTTGTGCTCACGACATACTTCAACAACAACAACAAACCCAGTGCAATCCCACACATTGGGGTCTGGGAATTGATTTAAATTCCTTCAAAGAGATCAAAGAAGGAGAACGGTTCAACTTGATCTGCAAGGTAGTTTTGCATCCTTAAATAAGTTTCTCCTATTCAAAAGAATAAATAAATGCTTGGCAAGTGCATTATAGGTCACATGTTCTTGGGTATTGAAATTACATTCAAATTTACTAACACTTGTATTGCAAATTATACGACCATATGCAAGATTGTTCATGTATGTGAAAGTTGAAAAATATATGTGGATGCTTCTCATGTGGGATGACACGGATACTCCACCAGTCAGTAAGTGTTTTCTACTTCCTAATCAAACTTTGAACACGCCTGTGATGTTAGTAGACAAATTTTAATTGGTTCCTGCTTGATATGAGGGGCGGAGTAGAAACTAACTTAACCAAGCCATTGGGATGGTTTACTACCTTTATTCAGCTTACAAGTTACAATTGTTTGAGTTATCACTATGTCGAGGGCTATATATGGAATGGAAAGAACAACTACACTAAGGTATATATGAAAAAAATACTGCTATTCTCTTTTTGGATGCAAAAGATCTTTTCCACTTTTGATTGAGCGAAAATTAGTGTCAATTAATGTTCTTAATCCTAGAAACCTGATGATAGTGGAGGATTAATATTTTTGTATTTTCATTTAACTACCATTCTCTAGGATTTACGATTATGATAAGAATGAAACCGTGTTTTTTGGATTGCTCAGATGGTACTCAATGTTGGGTAATAGGCCATCAAAGTCATTATTTACCCTAAAAATTGAATAACAATTAAACTTATATTGTGGTTTTAAGGATATGTAATTTAAACCAGTACCAATTGATAAGCAACGAATTAAATAGATAAATTGGACTATAAAATAAATCAAACCAGTCTGCAAACAATGAATCGACCTCGATTCGAGATAGTCTCGAGGTTAGTTAATAAGAACAGTAGATGATGGAACAAACAGCGATGAACAGTAAGTAAAACAAAGAAAGCAATGTATGTATATATTCATATCAGTGAATAATGATTGTCCCCCTTACAAGTGAATGAGATCCCTTCATATATAATAGGGGAATCCTAAATAAGGTACAACTCTAATAGCAGAAGTAGATCTCATGATTGGCACTAATAACCGCTTTGATTTGATCTGTTCCGGAATTTCCGCCATGATCTTCGACCGGTTACTGATATCTCGCCATTCCATTATTACGCCTTACTCGAAGTCAATCATGCTTGATCTCGATTGTTGCTGGCCTCGATCTCAATGAACACTTTAATCTCCAGGCGTGATGTTCTATCTTCGAGCTCGAGCTCGATCTATTATGATGTTACCCTCGAGGCAACTCCCCTGCCAACGAAATCGGGTATGCCCGATTTCGACCGTATACAGATAGTCTCCTCATTTTTTGGAGTGTAACGAGAAGAAACGAATTTGAGACTTCGATTTAATACCTCGATCAATTATGACGTCAACATCTTGACGTAAGCGACGGAAGTGATTGAAGCATCACATCTACACGATTCCCAAGGTCATTAATTAATGCCAGCTGATGGTCGGCCACCAGTGCTTTTAAACCATCAAAGTGGCTATCATAAATAGACCACCTTCATAATCTTCTCAAACTTTACTTTCAAACTTCTTCTAATCTTCAAAAGCTCTTCTATTCTCTTCAAGTTCATCAACTTTGCCAGTTTCCGTTTGTCAATATCTTATTAAAACACAAATTCCGCCTTCTTCTTCCTTAAACCTCATATAGCAATGGCAAAAATATCAAAGACCATTCCTCAAGAAGAAAAGGCCTCCTCATCGCTGCCGGCCGGTGACAAAACACCGGTGGAGCCATGTATCGAAGAGTGCATCCCCGGGCCATGTGAACTTACTTCCTACTTTAAAGTAAAAGCCCTCTTCGGTTCCTGGCCGATACGAGCCCATGTCTACATACATCTGTTCGATATCCGAAGGCGATCTCGAGAAGGTGAAAAAAGACTGCCACTGGGAGAATAAAGAGGTGGTGATTCCTACCCTCGAGGAGGACATCACCACTCATGTGATAGGGTTCTTAAGTGTGTATACTTACCCTTTCACACTGGGTTCCGTCGATCCTGTCATAATCGACTTCTGCCGCTAATACCGGGTAACCCTAGGCCAGATCTACCCCTCTTTTTGGCGCATTGTCATTTTTCTCAGATTCTTCTCGAGCAAGGTCAAGGGGATATCTTTCACCCTCGATCATCTCATTAGGTTATACAGCCCCCGTCTTTATCGGGGCGGACTGATAAGGCTTCAGCGTTGGGCCACGAAGGTGTTGTTCTCGAGCATAAACGAGGACAAGGACCGAGGATGGATGTGCCGGTTTCTCTGAGTCAGGACCTCCGACTTAATCCCCGCCGAGAAGAAGCCATTCCCCGAAGAATGGAACATGAAGTGTAAGTAAAACCACATCGATAACGTTTGATTACTTGTTATGTTTCCTTTACCTATTCTCATCTATATTCTTCTTTATGGTGCAGCTTCCCCTGGCTTCCTAGTGTAGTCCCGGACCTTGCAGGTTGGGTTCGACAACTATTTTCAACCTCTTCGTATGCTAAGCGCTCGTGGCACGATTTGGCCAAGGGTCGATGGGAGGCCAAAAATCATGGTAAGTTCCCCTGTCCATGTTTGGTGCTTTCTTGTGAAATACTTCTTTTTAACTTGATTTCTTCTCATACAGGTCTTGGAGATAATGTCGTCATGAGACCGCCTCCCCCCAGGGAAGAGGAGGTCCCGAAGCCGACCAAAGACAAGAAAAGGAGAAGGGTCTCGCCACCAGATACCCCAAAGCCCAGGAAAAGCAAGGCTCGAAAGTCGAAGACTGATCCCGCCGTTCTGTCTGCCGATGTAGTCCAAACTCTACGAGATAAAGACGAGGAGAGAGAAGATGTCGACTGCCTGCTGGTGGATCGTAAGAGGGAAGGCATTGAAGTTTCGAGAACTACTGAGCTGGTGACGGTCGAGGAGGTTCAGCCGCAGACCAAGGTGATCTCGGAGGAAGGTCCGAGCAGAGTCCTCGAGTCATCGGGTGTTGAGGATGCCTCCTGCCATGATGAGAAACCGGCGGGTGTACCCGAAGGGTCTAGTTCTGAGGCCCTTCAAAGAGAAGAGAATGCCCCAAGTGACTCGCTTGGGGCAATTAACATTGATGATTCGCCGCCCGGTCCCACGTTCTCTGAGGGGCAGTTTCGGGATGTCCGGTCCATGGGGACCCCCGATGTGGGGACGGCCCCCAAAGGGGATGATATATTTTGTGGCTGCTTCGCGGGGGTCGATGATGTTTCCGACCTGGACGCATTACTCATTTTTTATGAGGCTCAGTGGCTTCTGAAATAAGTGAGTTTTACTTGCAGTCGATGATGTTACCACGCTTGCATTTATTCTTATTTCTCTAAGTCTGATTTCCTTTCTTTCTGCACAGGCTACGGCGCTCCATCGAGAAACGTCCTCTAAATATCAGGCTGAGCTAGCCCGATGTGAGGCTGATCTCAAAAATCTTACGGAGGAGAGAGACGCCCTCAAACTCCTCTATGTGCAAAAAGAAGAGGAGATCATGAGTATTCGAACCGAGCTAATAAGAGCTCATCAAGATCAGACCGAGCTCATTGAACGAGTAATGTAAATTTTTGGGAGCTTGTTATGTATTAACTTGATATTGGCGACTAACACTTTGATTCTGCAAGTTCAGTAGAAGGCCGAATTGGTTGAGCAGCTTCATGAGGAGGCCAATATGAAAGAGGCAGAGACTTTGGGGTGGAAGCAGAACATGGACCGTCTCGCCTCGGAGAAAGATGCGGTTCGGGCCTAACTGTCTTCAGTTGAGCGTCAACTCCAAAGTGTGAAGGAGGAGAACTTGGCCCGAGCCCAGAAGGTTGAAAAGCTCGAGACTCGGTTGGCCACTGAGCATGCAAGGGCCATATTTGAGGTAGAGGTACTCGTGGCCTCCTACCGAGCCGACGCTGAAGCCGCTAACACTCGGGCAAAGGAAATTTCTGACTCTGTTGAGGTTAGATTGTCCCATATTGCCGAGCATGCTAGGCGTTAGTCTCGGAGAGAGACTCTTGAGGAGGTACATGCTCGTGGCTTCGACCTCACGGCTGATATCGAGAGTGCGAAGGTTTTGGAGGACGAGGCCAGAGCTTTGCTTTCCGATGATGAAGACTCTGCGAGTGGATCCAAGAACGGAGGAGATGAAGATGAAGCTCCCGAAGATGCGGCTCTCGAGGAAGACTAGGCACTTAGGATTTTTCTTTTTGTGTAAGACCATGTGTGGTCTTTGTAAATACTTTGTATATATGAAA